TGAAGTAGGTCTTTCTGGTTTCGGTGAACCAGTTGAAAGTTTGCCTTTGGTGCCGTTATACGTATTCAAATCGACAGTGCCTAAAGATAGGTAAGTCGAAAACGAGGCTTTACCGTAATAGACTTTCTTTACAGCAAAGACGTTGACTGCATTTGTAACCTTCCGAACAGTAAGCGCAGTGCCTGACCGGGCCTCGTGGCCAGACAAATGGCACTTGCGTCGCTGGATGGGTATTTTTCTGGGAGCCGGGTGCCCTGTAGAAATTAAATCCATTTAAAGACCGTAAAATGAAACAGAAATCACGGTCATCACGTGTAGGTGTAGGCACAGACGGCAAGATAAGAACGAGCGACGAACGGCTGTCCTACAATACCGTTGCTGCACAAACTCATGGCGCACCCCATGTCTTTAGCCATGAACCATAAGGCCTGAAAAATTCATGAATCATTCTAATTTTGTATTGTTCTTTGACGAGTGGTACTCGCCTGACGAAAGTCACGACATTGCAGTTGGCCGTTGGGCACGTTACGTGGATCAATTTTACATTGGTTTGTAATGTTGTCGTAGAAGTTCACGCCCTGAAGCTTAAAGCCTTTGATGATCTCTTTCGGGGTTGGCGGATTCTTCTTGTATGAGTACCACATGGCTACGCCGTGGTCTTCGTGCGGTTGAGAATTAACATGGTAGTTGCACTGCACGGCTAGCTTTCCGGCGAAGCTGGCCAACTGTGGATCCCAGTTTACCTAAACGTCAGCCCTATAGTACGTTTGCTTTTGATTCATCAGTAAGAGTGAGATCCTTACAGAAAAGTAACAACAGTAGTAGTGATAAGGTTTGAGAGGTAGTCATGGTAAACTATGGATCTAAGAAAATTACCCTATGCAAAACCGAGATGCAACGTCTAGCGGTAGAAGACGAGTAGCTACGAAAGTACAGGATTACCTCATGATAGAATGACATCCGAAAATGTAGAAGCGCTGAAGAACAACGTTGTAATCGGTTTCCGTCAGTTGGGAAGAAACAAGCGTTCCAGCAATGTTCGATGTGTACAGCAGTCAAGCAAGGATTTACCGTTCGTGTGAAAGGGACCGAAAGCAAACACATCACACCGAATGGCGATAGGAGCATAGCCTCACAAGAAATTCAAATGCAATGACCTCGAAGAAAGGCTTTTAATCCAAGCAGATGCTGCCCATACAATCGAAGGGATGTCCATGTCATCCCAAAAATGACCGATAAGACATTGAAAGATCAAAGCGTTGATGCCGTCAGAACAATAGATTGGCGTGCATAAAATTAATTTGGCTAACTGCGATCGATCCTTCAAAAGAGACTAATATTGGAACAGAGTATAAAACGACTATTTTGTTTTGCTGTGGATATTGCCATAAAGACTACGAGGAACATGCATTGCACATGCGTAGGCAGATATTCCTCCATGGACATACGGAATAAATTCATTAACGGTTCACCATGTTTCCTGTTGCGGCTCATGTCCAGTTTCAACATCAACCGGTGGTACACCCGAAGACGACCCGCTCTTAAAATGACAGTAATCTACTTTTGCAGCGCTCAAAATTCCTCTATTTTTGCTTAATCGTTTCTGCTTTCAAAACATTGGATTAGATTGCGTAATTGTAATTTCATCCATTGTCAAATGATTCTCTAGTCGCAAGGTAAGTAGCTTTGGGAAGTTTCTGTAATAATAACCTGTGCCCTTCGTTGTGTGTAGGATTTCTAGGTTTAAGAATACCGGTGGTAAATATACGGGACATATACGCGAAGTTGTTTTGCACCCCATTTGCTCGCACGCCATGTGACCTTCCTAAAAAACATTTTTTTACAGATCGTTCCTACGACATTCTCATGATATGTTGAAGTCATCTCAATTTTCGCCTATCGATCTAGAAAAGAAGCACCATACAAGTAAGTATATCTTAGATCGTCCTGTTTCAAGATCTGAAAACCTTCAAGATTTGCCCTGGCGATCCTTAGAAGAAAGCTCATCCTTGTTCTTGTATCCACGATTGCGTTCTTTTGATCTGTATGACCATGAGTTAGTGTTGGTAAATAGACAAACTTGAAAGGAGAAGACTTCACGTTGTCGTTCAGCTCGTTCTTCGATTCCACAGACTTGACTCACTGGTTTACGTCCACCGATTCCCCTGACAGAATTTTGTTTCGACGTTTTGCCTGGTCACTTCAATAAAACCTTACTCCGAAATTCCTCAATTTTTCTCTCTGCTTCAGTCGCACTCAATTAACGTGCAGAGTACACTGATTGGAATAAAACAAGATATGCCAAAAGGACATCAAATCGATTTGTTACGTTGAATTTATGGATTCGGTGTAATCCATATTCTTGCATTAGCTGAAAGTGATTCTGCATAACAAAATTTGGTGGACTGTCGTTCAGTTTCCTGGATAACACCTCTGAGGAGACTGCCTATGACAGGCTTGAAGTTCTCTCTTGTCCGGCAGTTTACGATGCAAATCGGGAGAAAGACTGACTGAGCTTGATGACGGGCATGGCGAGTGACCGATTGAGGTGAACGGCATTTCGGACGTCTATGCAGCCAGATAAACAAGTTGTGGTGAAAGGCGGAACATTGGTAATACAGTCTCCTTTAATAAACAAATTCAACAGGACATATCGACATGTTTCACACAGATTTATGAGCTGAACCCGCTGAGTGCCACTACGCAAAGTAGTTTCATCATCTTTGGAAATGAACTGAGTAGCACAGAGAATCAACGGTATCTTACCATGCGTTGTTTTTACGCCCATGAATCCTACTGCACTAAAGTTTCGTCTTTTGTACTTTTTGAGTTGGGTGGCATAATTTGTCGTTATTATCGACGCCGCAAGTATTTTCATATGAAAGGCAAAAAAATCCATGTTCATGTATAGTGTTAATAAGTACTTGAACTGTGAAATGCCAATAAACTTTCGTCCTTCGCACTGGTGGTAGACAGCATTATCTGCAACCGCATCCACTTTATCCTTTAAGCAAATGCTAATGATTATCGCACAATTTAAATGCGGTTTCAGATCAGGATGTCTTCATCTGATTTGCCTTAAAGCAAATGTCAAAATCTGTAAGCTCCGCGTCGCCACTGATTCGTTACTGACAGTTATTATTTAGAGTTCACAGCAGACCTCAAGGCATTGCACCACCTCACCGTTTCGCTACTCATGGGTTCATACTTCAATCATTTCTTTCTATTCACTCTGTCGATAATTTATAGAACACCTGTCATTAAAAATGCCAATTCAATCTTGCGCCTTCTTAGGCCAAAGTATACCATCACTGCATATATGCATTAACTCGTTCTGCGTCAGTATATGCTTATTCCATCAGATTTCCTGGTTATGGACACTAATCATTGCCTCTGTTGCCCAAAGGCTTTGTTATTCTTGCGTCAACGGTATCTGGGCTGACCAAGAGTCACAAACCTGCAGGCTACTCGAGTCAACACTTCATTTATGTGCTTCACCCACGTCCTGTCCCAAAATGCTACGGATCCTTAACTTGTTTAAACGTTCCTACCTATGCCCTTAAAGACAAGGCGACGTCCAAGCTATCGTGGCGTGATTTGAATCGTCATTATTTCTCAAATCCAACTTTAGTATGTTTTAAACTAAAATTCATGGTTATAACATCTTGGCTTCAAGATGGTCAAGGAGTTCATTTAAGGCTCGTTCATGCACTCATTTTTCATATTCTGACAGGTCTTTTTCTTCTTTGACAGTGTTCATATACTCCCGTCAATCTTTCGATCTTGTTACTCCTGCTCAGCAGCAATGACAGTAATTATTTTCTATTTTCCATGAATTAGCTTGTGCCCACAATGTGTGCAGAAAGTTCATATTCAATTATTCACCGGTGCTTTTTATCCAGTATCGCGTTTGTGGTCGTTTCAGTTTTCCATCAGGAGATTTCTCTCTACTTCATTTTGAGATTAACTCTGGCACTGATTTCTCTAGATGAAATATGACGAGGTTTAATTCTCACAATACAATTTCTTTGTAAGACTTGAGGAAATCTGTCAATCATATATCGACCTGAAATTAGCTGAGCTCAGGTGTTCAGGACTCTCTTAGTATCCATTTTGCACCGAATCTTGAGCTACCGGCTACATCAAGAGCGGTAAAAAAAGAAATGAAGATTACACTGAACGTTATTCAGAAGCTCGTTGCTACGTCATTGGAGCGAGGGGTGATACCGGTTAACCAAGCCCCGGTATTGACTTCGAAAAGAGTTGTTTTGCCAAGTCCTGATATTGACTTCAGATTGAGTTATTTTGCCAGATTTACCACATTTTGCTGACCAAGTCAGGAAGGATGTACAGCAACTCTTCTCCACCCGCATTGTCCTTTTATCGCAACTTACTGCTCAGAGGAAAACCAACATTAGAAACGTTTCCACGTGCTTTTGTGAAGACTAATACGGACATCGAGCCAGGTTTTTCAGAGCTGTAGTTAGAATGTTATAAAGCTACAATGAAGACATGAAGCTCTGTCAGGAATGACTCCCACAGGCTCGTTAGGCGACCATCCTGGATTTCACTGCAGACCTTCAGACGTTCACACTGGTTGAGGGGCATACTCGCTGCAGTACTTAAAGGGTCATGGAATCACGTGTATTGTCCATAGCTAAAGGCTGAGGACTGTTTTTGGGGAACGGATTGAATAAATATAATAATAAGACGTGGTCAGACAAAAAATAAAAACCGTAAATCAAAAAGATTAGCAGATTTAACTATTTTTCCACATACTGTAGCCGCTGCCACTAACGTCGTTTTAGTTTCCACGACCCATTGTGACTAAAGCAGAGCTCAGTCTGAAAACTAAACTCTCAGTATTCAAGTAGATCTTTATCCCCATACTTACCTACGGTCATGAATCGTGGACCATCAGTGAAAAACTTCGAACCCGGGTA